CAAACTCGCAGTTATCGTTCAAAAGATAATGATGGTGCGAAATATGTCTGGAGTTTTTAAAGAAAATGCTTTGTCACAGAATAATAGTCTGTTAAAGGTGCCAAGTATGAAATAATTTGAGGACAAAAAAACAAACCTGCATAGAAATCGGAATAATAGGTCTTTTGATTATCGGAGACGCATTTCAATGGACTTGATTACGGACAATGCATGACGTAAATTTCACCAGGAAATTCCGCAGTGTGCTCTCGCAATCGAGGACTTAGTCATTTTTACAAGATTCGCCATTTTTGATGTCACGTGATAATTATGTAAACAATGACTGTCTAGTTTGTGCGAACTTGTACCTCTATACTTAGTCTTTTGAAATATATAAGCTAAATTACTCTTCTGAACAAGACAACAGACAGAGAATGATTTATTCGAAAACGTCACAAAACCCTTCTCGCTACCTTAAGAGCATCTACACATATAAGAAATGATCAGTTTTTAATTATTCAAAAAATATGGGTGTGGCTTCTATTAAGGATGCAGCTTCTGATACCGATTTTACGGTACTGGTATTTGGTTCAGATGAGTTCCTTATGAATGGACTACACTGTATACACGTACTGCTCATTGCATAGAAATACTGGAGTAGACTGTTACCTGTAAAGCTGGAACAATAGCTGCTACGTCCGATGCAATAATTTCATGCGGCAATGCCAGCACCAGAAATAAACAAGATGCCAACAGATCATCTTTGTACTGTTTTAATCGAATCAACACTTCTTTAGTAAACTTCTTAAACAGATGGAATGCTGCTACTTTGTCAGCCAGAGTGCACATGTCTTTAGTGGAAGCTTTCTCTTCAATATGCCTTGGTACAGCAACCTTAGCATTCTCATTTATTCCCTGAAAGAGAATATCCAAAATATAAAAGGATAATATTAAAATGTCAAAATTGAGTGATTGAAGCCATGCTAATTGGCGGAATGTCAAATAGTGAGAGACTAGCAATTTCCATTAGATGTATATAATTAGCTAATAATCATAATTAACTTACCTGAAAGTATCCAATATTCTGACTTATTGTCATACAAACAGACAGTAGTTTGTAGAAACCACTGACCAGTGGAAGCCGAGTAGAATGAACTATGACCTCATGACCAAACGTGTACACCCACCTCTCAAAATAATAAGGACATCTTTTTGGAAGAAAGTCCCTAAAAACAGATGGAAAAGACAGCTACAGCATACTACATAGTGCACACACTGAAATTACACCTACAACACATACAACACATACCGACACTGATGATAAATCATGGGCTACATGCATATACAGGTAACTACTGGATAAGTACCAATAGGTTATGACTTTGTAAACTTACCTGCAGAATTCTACCAGATTTATAAAGATCTGGAAATCTTTTGGTTTGCTAGGTGTTAATCCAGATGAAGGATCAGAAGATAGATCCGTAACAGGACTGGAACGACCATCACTTGTACCAGGTTCTGGATCAGCTGACAACTAAAACAAGATGGATGATTTATAAATAACCAGACTGGATTCATCATTTATACACTGGGTGATAAATAAACCATATACCATATTAGTCTATCACAAATGATCAATACGATTAGATACTGCTAAATCAAGTCTGCATTAAAGCCATGATTTTTTTTTTTTATTTCACAATAAAGCCATGATGATAGCATGGTCACACAGCCCTGTCACATAGTCCCAAACTAGAATACACATATGGTATCTGTGATAAAAATGCACTATGCAAAATGTACATAAAAAAATCAGGAGACATTCAATGTCCCGAACTGTCATCTGGCACAAAAATAAAACAAATATCTAATTTGAAAGTTAATATTGAATTATTGAAATATTGAGTCACACAATTGCGTCGCACAGTTAGTTTTTAGTCCCCCTAACATACCACAAGGGTATGCTAAAGTAAATAACAAGGTCGCTGATTTGCCTGTTTGTTACATTGTATGTATTTAAATAAAGTTCATTTACAATCGTCAGATGTATTATAAAGCATCAAAATAGTCCTGTGATTTGTCAAAGTCTACATCTCACAATATGTGTGTTTGAGGTATACACTTTTGACATTGTGGAACATGTGCCTTTGAATATGCAGATGAATTTCCGATTTCCTTTCATTATATGTACAACATATCTCACAAAATGCATATTACCAATATCAGTATTTCAGGACTTTCATTAAGTAAGATCTGTTGTTAATTCTGGGATATTAAATAACTTTGGAATTAATTACTGGCAACTTGGTGTGTTTATTGTTTATATAGTTTATTAACGAGTCACTGTCATAATGACTGATGGTTAATTAGAGTGATTTGATTTTCAGTTCAGAGAATCTAAAGTTTTGAAATCTAATAGACTTTGGATAATGTACAGCATACATAGCATCTTTCTTGTGTATCCATAGTGATATATATATACTGCTTACCTCATTCCCTAGCTGTCCATCTTTATTGGACGACAAGTCTAATTTACCCAGAATTCTTATGATTGCAGCAATCAACTCATCATAGACGATATTATGTAATACTTTGCAATCTTGTGGAGATAACCCAATGTCAGTTATCTGAAATCAACACATAAGAACTATTAGAACCTATAACTACTACAAGCTACAATAATAACAGCCATACACTTGATCATGCATTTTTATTCAAGAAGACAAGAACAACCAGAGGCTAATGTGATTTCAATGGACTCATTAATGCAAAATTAAAGGCGGTGATTACCCCCACCTGAATACCTTGATGCCCTTCAATATTTCTTTCACAGTTTTGACCTTGAAGTTGGGAATCTCAAGACAAGAATACCAAAGTCATGATGCATGTCAAATTTAATAGTTCATGTAGCCTTACAATGGTACCTATATCGGTATTACCCACAGTGAATTGGTAAATACACATTTCTACTGACTTACTCTGAGCTGTGAACTGTCTAACAGATGATTCCATAAATCCAGATAGTCTTTGTATGACACTTTGCGTGCATCTATCAACAATTCATCGCTGGTTTCATCACCGCTCACATCGTACATTTCCTACAGATGAAAGTAGGAATCAAAATAAACTGACAATCAGATTTTTTGTTCCAATCAAAATACTGCTGAATCTTGGCAGTTGTGTGACAAGAATTGACTAATGTACTTACCCCTTCTAACACCACTGGATGTGAACATGTTCGTATCAAGCCTTGATAAACTACATAGAGAAAAAAGGGAGTGACATTTAATTGATTATGACACTGACTGTGATGGTGTATTTTACCACAACAGTATTGCTTTGATGGAAAGAACAGTATGCAAGTGTTATTAAACACACTGTTCAAACAAATAAAACACACCTTAGCAGTAATTGTAAACTATTTAATTTTCATTGCTCAAAATTGTTATAATGTTGTGACATTTATGAAGAAAAAATTTCACAAGAGTTGATGTGACATTGTGTCCTTAGAAGCCAACTAGAATTTTGCAGCTACAAAACCTTATAGAGGGGGTAACAGATTTGTCATGCATAATTCATACAACCTACCAATTCTGGAAACAAAGTTTCTAAGAGTAGCTCCTTTTGGCGATAGCGCTACCAGTACAGCAGTGATAGACTTGTAGCATGTATAATGAAGCGCTTTCCCAAACCTGGGAAAGTTTTCCATTAAAATAACCGTCATCGTCTCCAAAGAACTTAAAAATGTGTCAGACACCTGCAAATGTTTATATTTACAATTTATTTATTAATTTTATGGACTCTGTATAGTTATCATATTTACAAATAATATATAATTACTATTTAATTTATGGTTGTGCAATGGTTATGATATACAAATTACAAGAGTGTGGGTGGTTTATGTGCCATAACCATCCAGTTACTATGATTTAACTAATTTGTACCACGGCTGTTCTGAATTGGTGCATTTCAGTCAAACAATTGCTGTTCAGAATACACAAAGCTTAAATTGTAGTCAATTTGTTGCATATTGTTGTTAGTATTTTGATTTTCTATACACAATTAGGTAATAACTAGCCACGGTACTAATGTTAATATAAATACAGTTTGTTAGTCAGTTAATTCTTACCTCATCCAGTTCTCTGACAATGCAGGCTAGAGCCTCTAGAAAACTCGGAAGATGGGGGATTGTTTCATCTACCAGTTCATTTTGACTAAAAGACACAAATTATGACATCTAGATCCATTATCATTATTATTGTTTCCATATTTATTTATTCCATAATATTGTTTCATTATTTTTCTATTATTTATGATTTATTTATTTATCAAATCAACAGAGTCTACTATTAGGTAGATCAAACCCACAACTTGCCTGTGTGTAAGGCCAGCACATTAACCACTTATTTATTTCTGCTTACCTGAAATAGAGTTGTTCACTTCTCTGTATCATTTCATTGAACATAAATTTGACATCATCTTCAGACAGGAAAAGTTTACATGGCTATACAAAAAGAAAGATGGAAAACATATGATAAACAATATCTAAATATCAATAAATGTCAATATCTAAAACGTTTGCTTCTTTCTATCCCAAAAAATGTCGGAAATATTTCAAACAATACATGTATGTATAAAATATTGTCAATGCTGAAGTCAGAGAAATTTACAGCTCCAGTAAAATGTTTAGTATTTATACTAGTATTATAAGTGAAAACCAATTGTTTTTTTATAATTTTTGTTGTGCCAGGCGACAGTTTCGGACATTGAATGTCCCTGTTGTCTCTCCTGACTTTTTTTTTTGTATGTGCAAATTGCAAGTGCTCGTGCTGACACATAGTGCATTTTTGCCACAAAAGTCATATTCACTACATGACAGGGCTGTGCGGCCATCTTCCTATCAAATGGCAATTTAATGCGCTATCCTGGTGTCAACCAGGCTTGGTCGAACACAAGCACCTGCGGACCTTAACCAAGGTTCCCCCAAAGTCGCATTTGTTAGTGAATGAATCTTAGTGAATGAATCTCGGCCATTGGAAACCAATGTGGCTACTGTAAATCTAAAAAATAACTTTGTAATAAATATTATAATAATTATAAATCTCCACTGCTGCTAAATCAAAAGAAATTAGATACTTACAGCTGCAAACAGTCCATATCCTTTTATTGCAATACAGATTTCTCGAGTACCACTTTCTCGATTGTCAATTATGCTTCGAAATTTTCGGATAAACGCCTACAAGTAAAAAAGATAAGATGGTGTACATTACTTGGTGTGAAAAGACACTAACATTTAACTTTTACAGGTTTATTAATTTTCTGAAAATAAGACTAATATGATCTTTGTTAGCGTAATTCTACAAGGGTTTAACACTGTAAAAAAGATTACCCCTCGGCACTTGCATTTGCACATAAAAAAACGTACAATGTAATAAAGACTAGACTTCACTATATAATATGAGGTTATTATGAGGAT